GAACACTGTAGCTATATACTGTAGGTTTAGTTACAGTCGAAAGATACAGTAGTCTTGTTATTCTACCAAGTGTTATGGTGATTACAATATTTCCATAACAAATTGATTTTTTTTATACTTGAAATATATCTTCATTTTACTAAGTTTTCTACGTTATTTATATTGTATATTTCATGGTATTTATGTTTCGTTACGTCACATAAAACGTATCTATATTGTAACGCTGATTTTTTTTTGTTATATCACGTCATATAAATATTTTTTGTTTTTCGTTTGATTTTTAACACTATTTGAAATGTATTTATCTTGCAATGTTTGTTTTTTTCTGTTGTCTAAACATACATCTCTGGAGTAATGTTTTTTTTTTCTATTAGTTTACTTAGGTCATTTAGGTAAAACTGATTTAAATAATGTTAACAAATTATTATTGTTAGAAAGACGTATTTTGTGTAATGTGTGAGATTGACTCTGTTAAAAAGACATAATGTTAAATCATGTCTGAATTAAGAATAGAGTATTGTATATAACCAGAAGTGCTAGACCGTCTTTTAAGGGATTATCTTATGTTACTTTAAACTCTCACCCAAAGACTCTAGCGATAGCCACACCTTTTTACGTTACCTAAAATACACCCCCATATACAACATTCATTACTTAAAATGTTCCTCACCTAAAATAGGCCCTCATCTAAAATGTTCCTCACCTAAAATAGTCCCTCATCTAAAATACTCCTCACCTAAAATGTTCCTCACCTAAAATACTCCTCACCTAAAATAGTCTCTCACCTAAAATGTTCCTCACCTAAAATACTCCTCAACTAAAATAGTCTCTCACCTAAAATAGTCCGTACCTTAAATACTATTAACTTTAAATACCCCTTACCTTAAATACACCTTACTTAAAATACTTCTTGCCTAAAACTCACTATTTTAATAAAAAAAAAATTTGGGTCATACGCGTTTGTAACAACCTTAATATTGCCATTACTTGAGGTACACCTAAGTGATAGTTGATATACATACTTTTGGATTTTGTGAAGAATAGTAGAAATGTCTATCACGTCACAAATTACATATACTTTTTGTTACGGTATTAATTTCATACTCACCTTGTTACGTGTTACATGAGTGAACTAATTACGTTTTAATATACAGGTATTTTATATAATATGTGTTACCTGAATGTCTGTTACGTTATAATGTATGTTGTTTACTTACTAGACAATAGGCCTACTTGATTTATCTGGGTGAATGTGTATAGGTCCATGTGTTACTATATTTTGATGTGTATAGGCCTGTGTGAGTTGCTATACTGTATAATTTTGTGTTAATGTATATAAGCCTAAAGTGTGTTGCTATGTTTGTATTATTGTATATAGTCCGGTGTATTACTAAATTTATATTAATGTATATAGAAGTTTTAAATACCAGGGTCTTGAAGCACAATTCTCTAGGTCCAGTTTTATAAATAGTTATTGAAGGGAATTGTCATTATATCTGTATACCAAATGCCTCACAAACTATTGGGAAGAATTTGATGAAACTTAACCCACGTATTGGATGGTATGTAGATAGATTCTGAAGTCCAGGTCAAAGGTCACAGGTCATGTTTCAGTGTTGACCTCTCATGACCTGTTTCTTGTCTTTGGTTAATAATGATTTGTCTCTTAGAATATATTTTGTGGACTTGTTTGGATTTTTTTATTAAGATTATTTCGTTTTTCATTTTTTTAAGCGTTACATCAAATTGGATATTTTTTATTGGCTATATTTCTGCTCTGTTTTATATATTTAATTTAATTATAGTAACTTAGAAATATATATATCATTCTGTGGGCAATTGTAGTTATTATACAATATAGTTGTATTTCTGCTCTAGTTTCTATATTTCGTTTCAATTTATTCACTTACTGAAACATATTTTTTTTATCGTGTCTGAGAAATATCTATCGTAAATTGGAGTTATATTAGAATATATTTCCAGACTGTATTTTTATATTAGATTCACTTGTCTTTATGTTTTATATTTCGGTCTATTGCTATATTTCTTTCCCAGACGTGAATATATATTTTTTTTTACGTGTCGGGAAATATATCCGTCGTAAATTGGGGCACAACACAGCACCAATATCCCAACACAACACAACACAACACAGCACCAATATCCCAACACAACACAACACAGCACCAATATCCCAACACAACACAGCACCAATATCCCAACACAACACAGCACAGCACCAATATCCCAACACAACACAGCACCAATATCCCAACACAAACATCAACAACACAATGCAATTAACATACAACATACCACCCACAACACATCACCAATATCACAGCACAAACCAACACAACACAGCACCAACACGACAACACAAAGCAGCACAAAACAACACAACATCTCACCAACATCTCAACACAACACAAAACAACACGCAACACAACCCAACCCAAGCACAACACAACACATCACCAACATCACAACACAAAAAACACAACACAACAAAATACAACACACAACACAACATGGCACCAACAACACAACACAACTGAAACACAACATGAACACAACATAAACATAACGCAACATAAACACAATACAACACACAACACAACGCAACACTCAGACCCCGTATCTGTACACGTGTGTTGAGTCTCCGTGTATAGACCAATTAACTTAAAAATATATGAAAAAATACAACACGATATTTTATCCATTTTTTGTGTTATATTCTATGTGTAAACTTGCTGCCTTTTGTTATTTTGTTACTTTGTTCACTTTTATTCTATAGTGAGTTTTTTTGTAACGAAGATTTTACGTTAATATATTTTTAGTTTGAAGTAAATTGTATACGTTTTTTTCTATTATTTTTTGGTTGATTTTAAATTCGTATTATTGTTTACAAAGGTGTTCCGACTACCAATACATTTTTTAACTTAATATAAAACTTATATTTTCATTAACATTTTTATTATTCGTAATTTTTTTTTTTTTTAATGGATTAAGTTAATTATGCTTACTGTTGTGGTCTTTTTATAGTTTTAGTGAGAGAAAAGAGTTACCTGAATAAAAATTTTGCCATTGCCGTGTGATCAGTGAGAAAAATTGTGATCAGTTTTGTGATCAGTGCCACGTGATCAGTGGTTGTGATCAGTGCCGTGTGATCAGTGCCGCGTGTGATCAGTGCCACGTGTGAGTGTGGTGTGATCAGTGCCACGTGTTGTGCCAGATCAGTGCCACGTGATCAGTGACGTGATCACGTGTGACGTGATCAGTGCCGTGTGATCGTGTGATCAGTGCCGCGTGTGATCAGTGATGATCAGTGCCGCGTGTGATCAGTGCCACGTGTGATCAGTGCCACGTGTGATCAGTGCGCGTGTGATCAGTGTGATCAGTGCCGCGTGTGATCAGTGCCGCGTGATCGTGCCAGTGTGATCAGTGTGATCAGTGCCACGTGATCAGTGCCGCGTGATCAGTGCCGCCAGTGCGTGTGATCAGTGCCGCGTGATCAGTGCCACGTGATCAGTGCCACGTGATCAGTGCCACGTGTGATCAGTGCCTGTGTGTCATGTGATCAGTGCCGCGTATGATCAGTGCCATGATCAGTGTGATCAGCCACGTGATCAATGCCATGTGATCAGCACCGCGTGTGATCAGTGCCGCCAGTGCCTGTGATCAATGCCCGCGTGTGATCAGTGCCACGTGTGATCAGTGCCAGTGATCAGTGCCGTGTGATCCACGTGATCAGTGCCACGTGTGATGGTGCCGTGTGATCAGTGCGTATGATCAGTGCGTGTGATCAGTGCCACCTGTGATCAGTGCCACCTGTGATCAGTGCCATCAGTGCGCGTATGATCAGTGCCGCGTGTGATCAGTGCCACGTGTGATCAGTGCCATGTGTGATCAGTGCCGCGTCTGAATAGTGCCATGTGTGATCAGTGCCACGTGTTGTGATCAATGCCACGTATGGTGATAAGTGTCCCGGGTGCCACGCTCCCCAAGCCTCCTGCTAATACATTTCGTGTTTCAATCATGTTAGCTCCCTGGCCCTCACACCAGTATGATCCGTGTACACAAATACTCTTATGGTTTATACGGCATTGTTATACTTAAGTCAACCAGTTTTTATTGTCGGTGTAAATTTTTCTGTAAATGAATAAAAGATTTATAGTGTGTGTGTGTGTGTGTGTGTTTGTGTGTGTGTGTGTGTTTGTGTGTCTAAGGATATTTTAGCCCTCTAAATGCAAGTCTGTTTTTATGTTGAGTTTGATGTTTGTGTGTATTAAGTTGATTAAATTGTGGTAATATGTTTGTGTTGTGCTATGTGGTATTGTGTTGTGGTGATGTTTGTGTTGTATTGTGTAGTGTTGTGGTGATGTGTGTTGTGTTGTGCTTTGTGATGTTTGTGTTATGTAATGTTGTGTTATATAGTGTTGTGTTATGTTTTGTTGTGTCATGTAGTGTTGTGTTGGTTGTAACAGTTAGTTCTGGGAGTTGTAAGCTGTGGTCGTAAAAGGTAAGAAGTTTAAACCATTTTACGTCAATAAATAATTAAGGGCACGTTATTGCCCTTTTCTTTTCTCGTTCACCCTTGAGGTAGTTTTGAGACTTTGTGTTTATAAAACACGTTTGGTGCTTCTTCGAGCTAAGGATTTTTGGTCCCATTTGATGGCGTCGTCTACAACACGTTATTATTTTAACGTGTGTTAAATTATGGTGACTGACAGTTATAGGTTGTGATTGTGTATAAAAACCAGGTTTGGAATATGTTAAATAAAATTTATTTAAATATATAACAATACGGACGCATGTGTGGCGGCGTCCACCAGATACATCAACACACACACACACACACACACACACACTCGGCGGTGTACACACACATGGTGGTGTACACACGCACACACACACGGCGGTGTACACACATACAGCGGTGTACACTCGTACACACACACGGCGGTGTACACACACACTTACGGAGGTGTACACACACACACACATACACACACACACACACACACATGCACTTTGGTATTTTTTTACGTGTTGGTGCGTAGACACTTCGCTCAGGTCGCCCACGTGGCTAGGGGGCGTGTGGGCGTGCGGCGGCTGGGCGTCACTGGAGCTTGAAGTCGATGACAGAACACCCCCACCCGCTTCCCTGTCAGTAGGGCGGCGGAAATACCCCCTTTCGTCAACTGTGGGTTGGCACGGGCGTGTGGGCGTGCAGCGACTGGGCGTCCCTGAAACCAGAAGACGACGACGGACCCTCTGTCTGTCAGTAGGGCCAAGGTAACACCGAGGGCGGCAGTGCCAGTGTAGCGGAAGGGCGTTCTCATCGCGGGTCTGCAGTGGCAACTGGTGGTGACGGTGGGCGTGACTGGTCGTAGGCGGCTTGTCAGTTCTTCAAGTGATGGAGATAAAGGGCGGTGAGGGCGCCCTGAGTGGGAAAGCCCGCCGCTGTAGTCCCTCCGTGGCCCAGGTAAGCCAGGGGCGCCGGACACAGTAGAGGAGGACCCGGCTGTGGCAGGAAGCCCCCGCCGTGGTACGACAACATACCCGGCGGGCTTGGCGGCTGTGTGGGCGTGTTGACGTCACATCCGGGGTTCTGCTTCTTCCACTTGGTTCGACGATTCTGGAACCAGATCTTCACCTGTGTCTCCGTCAGGTTGAGCGCCAGGGCCAGGTTGAGTCTCTCACACACACTCAGGTATCTCGTATGTTTGAACTTGTTCTCCAGGGACACCAGCTGCTCGTAGGTGAAGGCGGTCCTGGCTCGACGGGGCTTACCGCCGCCAGCGTCACACCGTCGCTTCTTAGGGGCGCCTCCACCTCCCTCCTCCAGGTCCTCGCCCGTGTTGTCGTCGTCGCCTCCTTCGTCGCTACCTCCGCCGCCTCCCACGCTCACCTCAGAGTCCGAATCTGTTACAAAAACAAACAGAAAGACGTAATTACCCAAGAATCTCTCACAAAATTAGCCCCCCAGTCAGTCTGTCTGTCACACAATAACCAAGACGACATAATTATCCGCCTCTCTGGCACATAACAAACAAGGGGACGAAGACATACACTATAGGCGCCCGCTACAGAGACAGTGATAGGCTCACCACAGTTTATTTTATCTCCTGTTTAAACACCTTAACACCTACCTAACCTAACTCTAACCCAACGATAATCTTCAACTTAACCTAACACTAACCTTATTTAATCTAACAAATCCTATCCCAACCATAACCTAACTTAACCTATCCCCACGTAACCTATAACTTAACTTCATCTAACATAACCTACCCTAACCTAATCTCTCTCCCACGTAACCTAATCTAACTTAACCTAACCTAACCCATGTAACGTAACTCACCCAGGTAGCGTTAGGGGAGTTTAATCTTCAGGTAATCTAAACCAGACGAGCCTTCCCAACACGAGTCACCTCTTGTACTAATTTTGATGAAGATAACTGAAGCAATTCTTTCTTTCTGGTACATACATACATACATACATACATACATACATACATACATACATGGATCGATAGGTAGATACACATAGATAATTAGATATTGATAAATATACATCAGATAGTCAGAGCTAGATTTAACCCAACCACGCCTTCCACAGCTAACAACCGTGCCTTCCACAGCTAACAACCGTGCCTTCCACAGCTAACAACCGTGCCTTCCACACCTAACAACAACACAACTACGCCTACCAGACCTAACAACCACGCCTTCCACACCTAACAACAACACAACCACGCCTGCCAGGCCTAACAACTACGCCTTCCAGACCTAACTAATCAACCACGCTTTCCACACCTAACAAAACAACGACGCCTTCCAGTCCTAACAACCACGCGTTCCAGATCTAGCAACCACGCCTTCCAGACCTAACAAAACAACCACGCCTTCCAGACCTAACAACCACGCCTTCCACACCTAACAACCACGCCTTCCAGACCAAACAATCTCGCTGATTTTATATATATATATATATATATATATATATATATATATATATATATATATATATATATATATATATATATATATATATATGAATGAATATGTACACATGATGCTTTCAACGGATTACCGGGCGACTCAGCAGCGAAATCTTGTTAAAGTGGGATAACTTTTTATTGTTAGTTATAACACCGCGGAGTTAGCGCCAATGTGGTAAAACCGGCAGCATGGCGTTTACAAAATGGTACGCTTTTTTATTACTACATCTTACCCACATTATGGTACGTTACTGTTAGTGTTCTTGTGGTACATCACTTGTTGCAGGAATTTTCGTAAAAGTTTATTTTAAACTCTCGGTAGTCGCCCGTTGTAATAATGACCGTAACATATATATATTTCAAACATTAATTCCTTGTCATCTTCCACCACAGTAAATGTGTTATCACAAATTTAAAATTTATTGGGGGTTTAATTTAACATGTTCCCGACCACCAGGCTGACCTGGTGTGTGGTATAGCAATAGTTTATGATAAACGGTAGTTATTAAAGGTTGGGGCAAGGTTAGGTTAGGTGTACACGAGATGTGGTCAACTTACCACAAATGGTGGAGGTGTCGGGGTGGAGGCGGGCGTCGTCTATGGAGGAGGTGACCTCGCTGGAGGTGACCTGGACGCGACCCACAAACTTGTTAGGGTCGAGGATGTCCACGACGGAGAAGGAGGTGTGTCTGCCGCCCAGGGTGTCCGTGTGGCCCTGGTTCTTGGTGGCCTCCCGCGGGTATGGCTCCGGGCTGTTCTGACTCTCTGCTGATGTGTTCTGCGTCTCCGGGGATCTGTTGGGAGCGTGAGGGCTGCCAGCGACGGAGGAAGTTGTGGTGGGGATAGCGGCGGCGGCGGCGGCAGTAGTCGTGTTGTTGTCAACGTGCGGTGGTCTGGCGGTGCAGGAAGGACTACTGCAATCGGCACTGGTGTTGGTAGAGTGTCTCTGGGCGTCTGTGTTGAGCTTACTAACGACGGAGTAGCTGAGGTCCATGGGCGAGGTGGTGGTGGCCACAGACACTGGTTTAGCCATGGACAATACTGAGTCTGGCGAGATAGACCGAGAATCCATGTCGATAAACTTGTTGTGAACACTTTATAAGTCAACACTTCATGGTGGTTGAGCCGTGTTATGTGGCCAGCGTGTGTTACAAAGATCGTCTCACTCCTCGCGTGTGTTCCTCTCGGCTCCCAGCGAGCGACTAAGCTCTCCTCTCCTCTGTCAGATGATATATTTGATGTTGCTAAACAACTCCCGAGCCATGGGGCGAGTTTACCAAATGAGGCTTCACCCAACTTAATGACGACAGTAATTGGCTACTGAAATCCCTACTTATCTAAACACACTTGCCATTGGTCCAGAGAGATTGATCCGTGATACACACCCGCCGCTGATTGGCCCGCGGTGCGCTAGGGGAGATGCGACGCGGCCCGTGAGTGGCCGAGGAGGATTGTTTACAGAGGGTGATTGTGATCCGGCTCTTGATTGGCTGAGGGTGACTGCAGAGGAGGAGGGATGGTAAAAGAATCATCACCCGGTTAATGATGATGCGAAAATACGATTACCTCGTCAAGAATTCCATTTCACACCTACGTTACCCCTGAGCTTTTCGACATGTCGGCGGGCAACGCCACTCAGGCCCCGAGCAAACATAATTCTCTCGCCTCTAAAACTTGAAATTCAACCCCCCTCCCCCCCCACCCCCACCACCCCCTGACTTACGGTACGGCCCCCGCGGACACTAGGCTAAACTTTACTCACTCTCCCCACTTTGAAGCACTTTGTTTGGGTCTGGGTAACCACAGCGCGAGGGAGAGAGTGAGAGAGAGAAGGGGGGTGGGTGGGAGGGTGGGGGGTTAGAGGAGCTCATTAAACCAGGAGTGAGGTGGCGGAGGGAAGGGGAGGGAGGGAGGGAGTGAGGTGATCTGCGGCTGGTGGTGCGTGTAAGGTTATCAAGCCAGATTAACTCCTGGCAAGATTATTATCTTCTCGACGCTGTTTGTTTCTTCCTGAGGGTTTTAATTAACGCCCACGGCCCAGGCTGGAGTTGTGGCCAGGGGAGGGGGAGGGGGGGTGAGAGGTGACGGAGGGAAGGTGAGAGAGAGGAGAGGTGAAGGAGGGGAGGTGAAATGGTGGACGAAAGAGGGGAGGTGAGATGGTGGATGATAGAGGAGAGGTGAAGGGGGAGGAGAAGTGAGGGAAGGGAGAGATGGCGGGTGAGAGAAGACAGAAAATAGACGAGAGAGGAGGGAGAAAAAGAAGAGATGGGATGGTGGATGAGAGAGGAAGAGAAGAAATAGTGAATAAAAGAGGGATGAGGGATATAAGGAAGAGGAGGAGATGAAGGCGATGATGAGAATATATAGCAATAATGGATAAGAGAGTAAGGATAACAAATAAGAGAAACGAAAAGATTGAGGAAGAGGAGAGGCGGGGGAGTGACACAGTAAACGGAGAGACGGAAGATGGCGGAGGAGGAGGAGGAGGAGGTGGTGTGGAGGACAAGACCGTCTATCCAGAGGTGAGGAGGAGGGTGAGGGGAAGATGAGAGGAGGAGGAGCGGGAGGGAGAGGAAGTGGGGAAGGAGAACAGATGTAGAGGGAAATGAAGGAAGATAGGTCCTTCCTTCCTTCCTTCATCCCCGTCCAAACTTTGCACCTTCTTCAGTCGCCTTTATCACTAACCGATTAAATGTTTTGTAAATAGTAATTATCTTAAATGACTTTGTGTTATAGCGGGGTTGTTATTGTTGTTATTAACTTATGTACGAGGCATTTATGTTATTTTTGTGATTTCGTGAGTTAAATCTTGATGTTAGTGTTGGAATGTTGGGTTATGTTAAGGGCGGTTGTTAAAACGGGGTTAGTTTTATGTTAATAAGAGTGTTAAATGGTGTTAATGGTAGTTATTATTTTTATTATTGTAAGTAATAGTATTATAAAAAATATTTTTACCATTTAATGAACAAGAAATATCAAATCACTATTACTGGTGGAGGTTCCGGAGATATATATATATATATATATATATATATATATATATATATATATATATATATATATATATATATTCTCACTAACAATATTAACTACTGTATTTTGTGAACATAATTACCGTACACATATCATCACTAAGCACAGGAGTAATCATCAGTCACCGCGGGCCTGTTCCTTCTTAAACTGACCTTATTTAGATTTAGTTATTTTACACCGTTAGGCCGCGCTTAAATCTATATATCCAGCCGTCAGGTCAGGAGAGGCGGGTGCTACAATATGTTGTTGGCAGTGGAGTGGTGGAAACATTGTCATACATATTCATTTATTCTAATGAACGAACATTTGTAGCCGTCCAGATATATGGACGAATTAACTTTAATAACATAAAAGATTTTGTTGCTGCTGTATATATATATATATATATATATATATATATATATATATATATATATATATATGCGAGAGTAATTCGTATTATATATTCGTATATTAATAAATATAATTGTGTTAATATAAAAATACAGATACGTATAGAGAAAGTAGCACGTACAAACATCAACAAAGAGAAACATTTAAACAAGAGATGGTGTAACAAAGGACAAAACACTGTATAACACTTTATAGCCTAACCTAACCCCCACACTAACAACTTGCCTACTACTTGTTGACGCTCCTGGGGACCACCACCACCTGTGTCACTAACAACTGTATCCAGGACCAGGGCAGTAGTAATATTGGCCCCTCGTGAACTAGCACACTCGGTAATGACCATACACACACACACCCCCTCATTCCTCTTGGTTAAAATATTGGGATGGCAGCAATTATCAAACTCCGTCGAGCTCTTAAGTCCATCATTGTCCCCGTCAAGTTTCAAGAAAATCCCTCCCACAGTTTAGGAGTTATCGCGGTGGTCACTCGGAGGTTAGGCCACCGGCGACACGGACCTAACGAACGATACGGACCTCACGAACGCCACGGACCTAACGAACGACACGGACCTCACGGATGACACAGACCTCACGAACACTCCTTAATACAGTGGGGTATGCTATAACGAACGTAATTGGTTCCAGAACCTCGTTCGTTATAGGATTAATCCGTTCCAGGCCCCCAAATACAACCACTTAACACTGAAAAAATTCTGTGGAAAATGTAAAAAATACGGTACTTTATCTTACCTTAGTGTTATTCAGCATGCAGGTACCCCTAAACACTGGCACATCACTATCACTTCCACTGGGAGTCTTGGCTTTAAGGTCCTCAAACAATTGTTTAGCCTTCTCACAAATTATAGCTTCACTAATGTTACCACCTGCCATTTCTTTCTCCTTTATCCACACTAAGAGTAAATTTTCTATCTCTTCAATCACATTACACCTTGCTTTGCTAAGTCTAAAGATTCCCTTAGCCACTTGCACAGTTTTTAACTCCTCTTTATTCTTCAAAATCGTACATATAGTCGATTTAGCCATCCCATATTCATCACTAAGTTTCGCAATGCTTCTTCCATTCTCACGTTTCTTTATGTTTTCTTTCTTAGTTTCAAGGGTTATTAGCTTTCTCACTCGCTTTGAACTATTCATTGTCACAATTGTACACTTGTATAACAAAATATTTATACAAATAACTCTATTTCCACATCAAAAGACGAAATTTCAACAATAACAGTGGTGCACTGGCTACACAATGAGACAAAGATGGCGCCTGACGCTCTTGTTGTGGTCGCGGTACAACAATATTCATGCGCCAGGCGAAGTAGTCCCGTATTCATCCGCGTTCGTTGTAGGAGTTTCGTTCGTTATAGCTGGGGTATGCTATAACGAACGGATCCTACTATGAATATTCCTATAACGAACGGTTTTACCTATAAAATTGAGAATGCTATAACGAACGCAACTCCTACAACGAACGCGGATGAATACAGGACTACTTCGCCTGGCGCATGAATATTGTTGTACCGCGACCACAACAAGAGCGTCAGGCGCCATCTTTGTCTCATTGTGTAGCCAGTGCACCAGTGTTATTGTTGAAATTTCGTCTTTTGATGTGGAAATAGAGTTATTTGTATAAATATTTTGTTATACAAGTGTACAATTGTGACAATGAATAGTTCAAAGCGAGTGAGAAAGCTAATAACCCTTGAAACTAAGAAAGAAAACATAAAGAAACGTGAGAATGGAAGAAGCATTGCGAAACTTAGTGATGAATATGGGATGGCTAAATCGACTATATGTACGATTTTAAAGAATAAAGAGGAGTTGAAAACAGTGCAAGTGGCTAAGGGAATCTTTAGACTTAGCAAAGCAAGGTGTAATGTGATTGAAGAGATAGAAAATTTACTCTTAGTGTGGATAAAGGAGAAAGAAATGGCAGGTGGTAACATTAGTGAAGCTATAATTTGTGAGAAGGCTAAACAATTGTTTGAGGACCTTAAAGCCAAGACTCCCAGTGGAAGTGATAGTGATGTGCCAGTGTTTAGGGGTACCTGCATGCTGAATAACACTAAGGTAAGATAAAGTACCTTATTTTTTACATTTTCCACAGAATTTTTTCAGTGTTAAGTGGTTGTATTTGGGGGCCTGGAACGGATTAATCCTATAACGAACGAGGTTCTGGAACCAATTACGTTCGTTATAGGAATATTCGTAGTAGGATCCGTTCGTTATAGCATACCCCACTGTACAAAGAAAATCCAATCCTCCCCACCTAATGATCCCCGAGTTCATCCATGCTAGATACGGCCAAGTGTCCAGAGAATTTTGTCCACAACTGTACACGTGTCACCAGAGAATTTTGTCCAGGATTGACCATAAATCCCATCATGTAACTTTTCTTCATTGCCTAACACGTATATATACACAGTGGTGCCCTTACGTGACCCCAATAACAAATACTAATACTTATTCCAATTTAAAAGTAAGAATTAAATACAAATAACTTTTATGAGTACATGAACAAAGTATTTATTCATCTATATAAGTTGATCTAAACTGATGGAATTTTGACATGATCTGACGTAGGTAATGTGTTTCCTAACCTAACCTAACCTAATCTATCTTGACTTAATGTAACCTAACCTAATCTATCTTGACTTAATGTAACCTAACCTAATCTATCTTGACTTAATGTAACCTAACCTAATCTAGCCTAGCCTAACCTAACCAGACCTAACGCAAATACAAC